TGAGTTTAAAAAACCCTTTTAAAATTTTTTTTTAAATTTTATTATTTTTTTAATATGTACCATTATTTCTCTGGCAATGACATCCTCAGGGGTCTCTGGCCCATCTTCCCCGTGGTCCCTGAGATGCGGTGTGGAGATGAGGAAAGCTCCGCCTCTCTCCCCTCCCAGAGTCCCAAAACTATTTCTCTGGCAATGGCGTGGACTGCAGCCTTCAATATGGATTGAAGCTCAATATCAAGAAAACAAAGATTCTCACCACTGGACCAATTGGCAGCATCAGTATGGATGGTGAAGAGATTGAGATCGTGAACAGTTTTAGTTTGCTTGGCTCTGCAGTCAACACTCTTGGTAACAGCAGCCAGGAAATCAGGCGATGAATTTCACTGGGAAAGTCAGCTGTGAGGGACCTCTCAAGAGTGCTGAAGAGCAACAACATCAGGCTGGAGACTAAGGTGCTCCTGATCCAGGCTATAGTCTTCGCAATTATGTGCTATGCATTGGAGAGTTGGACAGTGAATAAAGATGATAGAAAGAGAATTGTTGCCTTTGAGCTGTGGTGCTGGAGAAGTGTGTTGAATATGCCATGGACTGCTAGGAGAACAAACAAGTTTGTCCTGGAGAGGGTGAAGCCAGAATGAACCTTGGAGTCAAGGATTCTGAAGCTTCGTCTGACATACTTTGGGCATGTTGCAAGGAGGGACTGATCCTTGGAGAGGGACATCATGTTTGGCAGAGTGGAGGGACAGCACAGGAGAGGAAGACCCTCAATGAGATGGATCGATTCTGTGAGTGGAGTGGTGGGAATGAGTGTGTTTGAGACAGCGAGGTTGGCACAGGACAGAACGGCGTTTAGGGCTCTTATACATAGGGTTGCTGTGAGTTGCAAGCGACTCGATGGCACATAACAACAACAACAACAGTGTACCATTAAATCGGATCTGACAGGTACAGGAAGGGATTGTCCTTCCTTCTCCAGCAGAGCATCTGGTGGATTCAAACCACGCACCTCTGAGGTTACAGTGCTTCTTGCCTAGGCCACCTGAGCTCCCTAACCCTCTCTTTTTGTTTGTTTTAAAGAAGTATAGCATGATGAATTCATGCTCATAAAAACAGTTTTAGGGAAATTCTAATTAAAATAATTTTCTCACTTTCCCCAGATTTCCTTAGTAAAACAGGTGAATTAAGGCTTTGGTTAGGCCATGTATTCTCTGGGTCTCAATTTCTTCACTCCCTCAACTTTAGGGTACCTGTTCTACATTCTAGGGGTGCTGGAGGAACTGAGTAAGATGATATTCACTGGGCCAGGACTCAAGAGAGGAGGCGGGAGTATTGGAGTATTTGCAGTCAAACTGGGGAAGACATGTGGGTGCATCTTTTTGTCTGTTAATATGCAGGTGTGTTTTTTCGTCATGGGTGTGAGTGAAGTTGGTCTTTACGAGTTTGCCTGAGAGTGTTACAGTTCACAGAGGAGCCAAGTTGGGCCTCTCCATCCTTAGTCTTTGTCCTTGACAGAACTTGGAGGATCAATCAACTCCAGGTCACCAGGCAGCAAATGAGTCCGACATGACACAAGCAACAGCGCCTTGTACCTTGGGCAGGTGTGTACAACCGCTGGGGGACAAGCCCTTCATGGAAGCAGGAACCTCACATATCAGGCCACAGGGCACTCTGTCAAAGCTGGACCTAAGGGAACATGAAGACACAGCAACCCTGGAGGAAAAGACAGACAACTTCCAGCCCTCAAATCCAGGACCTAAAACACCTGAAGGAGGGTGAGTCATCCCCTTGTTCCACCATTGCCTTGTCCTCTGTCCCCAGCAAGGTGGCTTTTATGTTAAGTTACATGTGGGATGAATTCTAGTCCTGACTGTCCTCACCTTGATTACATCCAAGGGCAACTCAGGTTCCCTCTGAACCTCAGTGTACCTATCCGTAAAATGGAATGTTAGCTTTTTGAGGAATCACCTAGTTCTACTCTCAGAATTCTTTGCCTCATAGACCTCTCCTTATAAGCAACATGACCTCACTGGACATATGAGGGAATGAGGACCCTTCCAAGATCCAGAATCCCAGGGGGAAAGCTGGAAGTGGAGCTGAGAGTCACCTGGTAACTGAGGGAAGGTGGTTACAAGTCACAAACACTGAGTTGAAGCCCTCTTTCATTGCAGGGTTCCCTTGTCAAGGGGTGAGGTTGTGGAGACCCAGCCATTCCCAGAGCCTATTTCTCCACCAGTAAGTAGGGTCACAGTGGGGATGGGGAGAGGGATGGGGTGTATGTGGGGGAGTCGGAAAGAGGAAGTGGGCAGAGAAGAAGTATTGCAGTATTTGGACTCAAGTGAGGAAAGTGTCTGTAGGGTCTGTACATCTGTATGCATGTGTGTTGTGTTCACAAGTATGGAGGGTTTTTCTTACTGAGAATTGAGGATGCTTTCACATGCTGGAGCTCATGAGCAGCTTTTCCCACATCAGCATGGGTTTATTTCACTTATTTATCCACGACCACACAATCCAAAGTTTCAGAAATCCTTACGAAACTTCTCTAATGCTCTCCCACTCACTCATCCAACCAGTAGCAGAAGGACTTCCGGGTTCTTTAACTTCCTGGGCAGCCGTGAGCACAGTCAGGCCTCATCACACCCTTGCACACACCTTTGCACACACCCTTGCACTCACCTGCTCTTGTCTCTTTTTGGCTGTATTCACTGGTAAAACACCAACCCTATCTAAACCCAACTCTCCGCTGGTCTGCATCTGCGTCTGAGCAGCTCAACTTGACAGACTGTGGTTGGGTTTCATGCCGACCTGTTACCTAGCGTCTTAGATCGAGATCCAAAATCTTCACCAAGATGCAAAAGACTCTATGCTTAGTCAGCCTGATCCGATTTCCACCTGTTGAATCTGCCAAGTTTATTCCCATCTCAGGGCCTTTGCACTTGCCATCCCTGTGCCTGAGATTCTTCTCATAGACATGTTCACAGCTGACACCAAGGAGTCATTTCTGTTTCTGAGCAAAGTCTTCTCTATCCTCCCCATCTCAAGTAGCCTGCCAAGCACGGTCAGTCACATTCTGCTAGTCTAGTGTCTTTGTTTTACTTTTTTACATGATGTCGTTATTACTTATTGTTAAGTGCTGTTGACTATGACCCATAATGACACCGTGAACAATAGAACTGAACCCTGTCCTATTCTGCATCATCGGTACAATCCTCGACATCTTTGGGTCCATTACCACAGACACTGTATCAATATATCTCATTGAAAAAACCAAACCAAACCGTCTCATTAAGAGTCTTCCCCTCTTTGCTGACCCTCCACATTTGCAAGCATAATACCTCTTTCCAAGGAATAATCTTTTCAAACAACATGTTCAAAATATGTGAGACAAAGCTTCACTATTTTTACCTCCAAGAAAACATTCTGGTTTCACTTTCTCCAAGACATATCTGTTCTTTTGGCAGTCCATGGGATATTCAGCACTCTTTGCCAACACCATAACTCAAAGGAATCAATTATTCTCCTGTCATCCTTATTCATTACTTACTCTGAGATGCATAGCATGTGATTGAAGACTGTGGTTTGAATCAGGCACACCTTATTCAATAAGTTGACATCCTTGCTCTTTATGACTTTGGAGAGATTCCTGATAGCAGACTTTTATAATACTGTACATCTCCCAATCTCCTTACTGCTGGGTCCAAGATTTCAAGCAAGATGATATCATTGGCAATTTCAACCATCTATTTGTCAAGTAGTGAAAATTTTTGTTTTCTTAATATTAGGTTTTTGGTTTTTTTAAAATATGGAACACTTCATGAATTTGCATGTCAACCTTGCGCAGGGACCATGCTAATCTTCTCTGTATCGTTCCAGTTTTAGTATATGTGCTGCCGAAGCGAGCACTTAATATTAGGTTTTAATCCATATTGAAGGCTGCAATCCTTGATCCTCTGCAGCAAGCACTTCAGGTCCTCTTCACTTTCTGCAAGCAAGCTTGTGTCAGCTGCATAATGCAGGTTGTTGTTGAGCCTTCCTCCAAATCTGATGCCACATCTTCATAGTCTAGTGAGTGAGTTGCTCAGCATACAGAATGAATAGGTGTGAAGAGATGATATAGCCCTGACACACACCTTTCCCAATGTTAAACCATTCAGTGTTTCCTTTTTCTGTTCTGACAATAGCTTCTTGGTCTAGGAATAGATTTCATACAAGCATAATTAGGTAGTTTGAAATTCCCATTCTTCTCAAGGTTAGCCATAGTTTGTTATAATCCACACTGTCAAATGCCTTTGTATAGTCAATAATACATAAATAGACTTTCTTATGATATTCTCTGCTTTCAGCTAAGATCCACCTGACATCAGCTGTAATATCCCTGGTGCCAAAGCATATTTAAAACTGACCTTCTGACAGTTCCCTGTCAATGTACTGTTCTGGTTTGGAAAATTTTCAACAATATTTTGCTTGTATGTCATATAATATTGTTTGATAATTTCCACATTCTGTTGGATCATCTTTCTTGGGAATAGGAACAAGTATGAATCTCTTTTAATCAGTTGACCAGGTAACTGTCTTTCAAACTTCCTGGCACAGAGCAGGGAGCTTGTTTAGGGCTATATCTGTTATTTGGAACATGCCATTTGGTATCCCATTGATTCCTGGTGCCTTATTTTTGGCCAATGACTTCAATGCAACTTAAATTTCTTCCTTTGGTTCTTCATCACATGCTACTTCCTGAAACATGTGAGTGTCAACCAATTCTTTTCTGTCTGATGTCTCTATGTATTCCCTCCATCTTTTGTTTTTAAAGTGGAACGTTTTTATTATAATAAAATTAATTTCATTTCCATCTACTTTTGGGCATATGGTAAATATTATTAATATGCGTTACTTAAACTTCTATGCCATTGTCTCCTCTATAAAACATAGGTAGCAACACTGCATATATCATAATGTATCAGGAGTATTGATAGCAATTAAAAATGATGTAATTTTATTAAATATTGTTTAGATTTTGGTTTTTTTCTTTATACTGTCTATTTTTTAAACCTATTTTTGTCAGTTTGCATATAATAATTCATATGCATTGTGTTTCATGTATATACAGTGTGAGGTTTTTTTGTTAAGTTTTTTTTTTTGTTAAGTTTTTTAACAAAAAAATTTATATTAGCTTGCTTACAATGTTCATACACATTGTGTTTCACACTATCCATCATTCACATTGTGTTTCACACAATCACTTCAATTGATTAAATTTTATAAAGTTAATCAACATTGAACTATGCCCACCATTGCCCTGTCTTTCCAGATTCTCCACTGGATCTTTCCCATTTACTTTATCCACTTTTTCCTCCACCCATCGAATTGGGAAACCCCCATGATTTTCCCCCTACCTATCCTGACCCCTCTGCTCCTACCTTTTGCCCTTGTTATTTCTATAGTAATGGTCTTATGCAGTATTTGTCCTTATGAGATCAAGTTAATTCACTCAGCATAATGCTCTCCAGTCCCTCTCGCATTATGTAGTAATTGACAAAATCATTGTTCCTTCACGCTTCATAGTATTCCATTATATGAATGTACCACAATTTCTCAATCCACTCGATTGCGGTTGGACATTTGGGCTATTTCAATGTTCTTGCTTTGAAAATGCAAAAATTCTTGTTTTAATTTTTTTGGGGGTTTCTTTTTGCAGTTTTTATGGTTTATTTAGCACAAATAAAATGTGCAAACAAGCTTTCTATTCATTTTCTTCGCTGCGCAATCTGGCGTTGGGATTGGTGACTCTAATGGCCAGCCAGGCTGCTCTTTCCACAATGGCTTTGTGGTTCTTGGAGGAAACATTGTGTGCAATCTCAGCACAGTAAGATGTGTTGCACATCAGCAGCACCTCCAGCTCCTTGACATTGTGGACTAAGAATTTGCGGAAGCCACTGGGCAACATGTGCTTTGTCTTCTTGTTGCTCCCGTAACCAATGTTGGGCATCAAGATCGGGCCCTTAAATCTTCTCCAAACCCTGTTGTCGATGCCTCTGGGCTTGCGCCAATTACGCTTAATTTTGACATAACGGTCTGACTGGTAGCGGATTAATTTCTTGGTCCTCTTTTTGACTATCTTTGGCTTCACCAGGGGTCTGAGGGCAGCCATTATGCCAGTGGCAGATGACAGCCACCTCCGTAGAAAGCGCGGAAGGAGTGTTTTAATTTTTTTTATTGGTTTGCATATAATAATTTTACATTGTGGAGTTTGTTTTTTGTCCCCTCTGTCTACCCATCAAACTCTGCAACCCCATGATTTCCTCCTCTCCTAGGCCTCAACCCCTCTGCTCCCTCAACCTTCCCTCTTTGGATATCCATACACATCTTGCTGGTAATCCATCTGGTTTTACAATTATGGTCTTATGCAGTAATTATTCTTTGCAGATGAGTTAGTTCACTCAGCATAATTCTCTCTAGCCTCTCCCGTGTTATATTATATGGTGGTGGTGGTGGTTGTTATGTGCTGTCAAGAATCTTTATTATATGGTATTTTCCAAAATCATTGCTCTTGAGTGCTGCATAGTATGCCATTGTGCGAAAGTACCATAATTTCTCATTCCAGTTGTTTTGATGATGGAAATTTGGGTTGTTTTCGTGTTTTTGCTATTGTGAATAATGCTCCTATGAATATCTGTGTACAAATGTCCGTTTGTGTCTCAGTTCTGTTTTTCTTGGAGTATATCCCTAGCAGTGGAATAGCTGGATCAAATGGATATTGAAATCTATGCTCAGCTTTTTGA